CACTCGAGTGAAAACGATTAGAGAATATTATTTTATTAAACGAGAGATAATGCAGGATGAGGTTTGCGTCTCGATTTGCCAGACGAGAGTGTAATACTACACTTTATCTACTACAATAAGCAGATAATGATTTTCAAAAATAACACTAGTAAACAATAAAAAAAGGTCGGTAATAAAAATAGCTCAGTCACCTGCTCGACGCAAATCCGGCGACCAAAAAATTTTCCAAAGTCTCGTTTAGACGATACGGGCAGGACCATGATACAAAGAAAAATTGTTAAATAATAACGATAAAAATAAGTAAATAAAAAAGGTCGGTAATAAAATTAGCACAGTCCTATAGATTTTGACCTGCTCGACGCAAATACGGCGACCAAAAATTTTTCCAAAGTCTCGTTTAGACGATACGGGCAGGACCATGATACAAAGAAAAATTGTTAAATAATAACGATAAAAATAAGTAAATAAAAAAGGTCGGTAATAAAAATAGCACAGTCCTATAGATTTTCACCTGCTCGACGCAAATTCGGCGACCAAAAAATTTTCCAAAGTCTCGTTTAGACCATACGGGCAGCACCATGTTAAATAATAACGATAAAAATAAGTAAACAAAATAATTCGAACGATAAAAAACAGTAAACATCAAAAAAACATGCCTTAAATTTTTACAATATGTACAGATATGTTGTTCATGGAATGCTGAAATATAAGTTAAAAGTAACGTCATCCTAAAATTTTCAAATCTATGCAATAAATGGTACCAAAATACTGTGCTCCTATTTTTTATTTCCGACTTCAGAAAATGTTTTAAAAAACATTTTGGATCTATTTCAGTCATAAACAATCGAAAAATTCTATTTTTAACCAGGACCTTTTTTTAAGTTAAAATTTGTTGCCTAGTGTAATTAAATAAAATCTGACAAATTATTAACCTTACTTTTTATCAATTTTAAATGTTATTATAGTCGACATATCCCAATTTAAAAAGCGATTGGTTCAAATTACAGTAAATATTGAAAGCGACCAATCACTGATGCCTTACACATGAATAATGGGTTCATTATTTTTGTTGTTAGGCAGGAGTAGATACGTGTACGTAATCACTTAGCTGCGCGAACAATATCCCACCAGTGGAATAACAGATCAAAGAATAAATTAAACGCAAGTCACTAAGGACCACCCATAAAATTTTAAATATAGGACTTATCCGGCAATTTTGATGTCTGCGCTCTATGACGCATATGTACAACTTTTAATTAAATATAAATGTTAGTGTTTTAATAAAGTTCTTTATCACATGGAAGTACATTTGCAATTTTATGCAGCTAAAATATAATACAAAATTCCGCAAACTTATATCTTACTCTGTTTTATGAGTGTATTACATTTAATATTAGACCCTAATTACACCGTTCCAGTAAAATTAATATTTAATTAGCAAAAACATACAGTATTATGTAACAACTTCTATAAAACCCATTTAAGTTACGAGTTTAATTATGCACAAGCGTAGTTCGGAAGCAGGTTTTTAATAAAAGAGTGTTTTAAGAAGTTTATAAAACGAATTGCATACCATCCTTCATCTATAGATCGTATACGACGAACACGAAGTAATGTTTTTTCAGAATTTAAAAACTATTTTATTTGACATTTTATCTGACCTCTGACAACTGCAAAGCGTTTTTTTAATCTGATATCTGTCAAACGGTTTTAACCTCACCTTTAACCACTTTTAATTTAAAGGCCCGTGTATTAACTAATTGTATCTACTCCCCCATTGATAAGATGGGACTTTATGGCTGAAGTTAGCTTTATTATAAATTGGGAAAATGTAAGGTTAAATTCGGGTGACAGTTTACAGATGTCAAATTTTTAACAAATAAAACTGGCTTTAAATTATTCTTTGTGTTCGTCGTTGAAAGTATAGTGCAACTTGTTTATAAACTTCTCCAGACACTCCTTTTTTTTAAACTCGTAACTAAAATGGCATTTATAAAACTTGATACAAAAATACTATAAAACACTGTTGCAACCTTCAGCCCCTGTATTGTAGTAGTTTACATAACAAGGGTGGTAAGTGACAATTTATGCACGAGCGAAAGAAGTTCCGCGTGTGCGTTCACCATTTTATCTACAACACATTTTTAACCTGTTTTAAATATTTAAATTTAACATTGACAGTTCTTAATTTTGTCACCATAACGTTATTAATAAACCAAACAAGAAAACAATGTCTAGCATAACTAAGTTACTATAGAAACCTCAACTTAATCTTATGAAATTTCGTAACCGTGCGATCGCGATCGATCGGCCAATTTTACTTAGATTATAATCTATAATAATTATCAGTTGTACAAAATTTGGCATTTTACTTAATGGTTGTAGAAAATATTTATTTGTTACAGGTGTTAAAAAACGTACTTTTTAACGCGTGTTTAACTTACCCACAAGGTCGTCAGGCATTAGTACGAGCTTAAAAAATGCTTTTCTTACAAGTGAAACACAATGCCTTTTCTACGACGATTTAAAGCCAACTTTATTTACCTGACATCTGACAACTGTCAAGCGGTTTTAACCTCACTTTTTTAACAATCAGACTTTCTTTTCACACAGAAACGTCACTAAACATTCGGGTTTTGCCTAGTAAATGAAAAAAATCGTTTTTTCAAACCGATAAGATGGAATGGTATATTCTGTACTCTCTAAAAGTGAAACAGTGAAATTTTCACTATTTCCGTAAAATTAGTGTTTTTCAATATAAATTAGTGAAATTTTAACTTCTCCAAATTAGTGTTTTTTATTATTACTACTTTTCCGGAACTCTCGACATAAAATAGTGAAATTTTAACTTTTTTGAACTATTTTTTTTCACTAATTTGTGTAATTTCCACTAAATAAATTAGTGCAAAGAAATCGCTACATGAAAAAGTGAGTATTTACTAATTGCTAGTGGTATACTTATCACTGCGGCAAATAGTTAATATGCACTGTCAATCAGTGAAAATCCACTGTTTTATTTTTAGAGAGTAACAAGTTTGGAATACGACATATTCCGCTCGAGTGAAAAGTTTGTCACACGACCGAAGTCGATTTTGACGGTTTCACGAGAGCGGAATATGCAATTCCAAACGTGTTTCAGACTATACTTTTTCTACGTTTTCAAAAAATACAATAGAAAAATAATTTAATTGGGAGAAAGTAAGATTGGATCGGTCTAAACTTTTTTCGATATTAAACACAGATATGTCGCCACCAGTGTTTATTCCGTCATCCGATGATAGAATAATTCAATTTGTAATACTAAGGAATATAAAAAATGATATTAGAACGGTCATATTCCGTTTTAGGAGTAAGAAAAAGCTTTATTCAAATTTATTTAACTTAAATTTATTTAAATAAATATATTGACAGGAGTTTCCAAACTTGTAGGACATTTTAGTAACTCAATATGGACCTTTTTGGTGGAAAGGCGTTTCCATATTGTCCCAAAGGAATGCTATAGGTTAAATTTATACCGTATAATATATTATACCAAATCTAATTTACATTTGCATAATTATAATACACAGAGAGAATACAAAGTTTCTCTAATATTTACCTGATGAAGTTTTTTACAAAATTATGTAGTAATATTTTATTAATTATTCTTTTAAAATTTTTCAGTGCTTCTTTAGTTTATCCTTGACAAAATTAAATTAAAGTAAGTAAAAAGTTCAACTGCAGATAAAAAAACTGTTAGGCTCTCTTACAGATTTTCTTACAAAATTATGTAGTAATATTTTATTAATTATTTATTTAAAAATTTTCAGTGCTTCTTTAGTAAATCCTTAACAAACTTAAATTAAAGTAAGTAAATAGTTCAACTGCAGATAAAAAAAACTGTTCGGCTCTCTTACAAACTTTCATTTGGTTTAAAGTATAAGTTATTTTGCGTTAAGCTGTTTTTAAATATTTTTAAAATCATAAATTTTCCGTTTACTGCACTTTTGTACGATGGATTTCGAAAATTCGGCTCTTTAAAAGTTATGGCAGTTTAAATTTGAGTGGCTCTTGCGCCTAAGTAATCTGAAATAATTTATTTTACTATTTTCCTATAACCCATATAGTTATTGCTTAAACTTTGAGGTTAGTTGGATGGAAATCATATGACTATATAATATAATATATTATATACTATATATTATATAGTATATAATATATTATATTTTATATAGTCATATGATTTCCATCTTTAACCTCAAAGTGTAAGTAATAACTATGATTTATTAAAATATATAGATTAAAGTAATGTGGGTTGCCTACCACTGCCTTTCTGATCTATAAATAGAAGTTAGTCGGTTCTGGACCAATTAAAATCCATTATTTTATTATCAACCACAATTTTCCTTAAAAAATTTATCAAAATAATAGTATATTCTGCGACTAGTGGAAGAAAGAAGAAATTCCTCAAGCGTAGAGTTTGCAGCACGAGCGTAGCGAGTGAGGATAGATGCGAGTGGAATCTACTCTTTTGACAAATAGTCGCACACAATATTTTATCCAACAACCACAGTAAATTTAAAGCCAATATTATTTTGATATTTTATCTGACATCCAACAGCTTTTATTAGTTTTAACCTCACATTTTTCAAAATTTCACTTAAAGCAAAATGCTTTTTGGCACCCTAGTGATGGAAGTAAAAATTTTTTCCACCTGTTAAAGTTAAGAAATAAAATGGGTTTTTAAATAAGTATGATTTATTGGCAAATATTGGCAAATGTGTTACTCAAACTTCGTACGGCCATAACTTTTAAAGTTGTGTTATAGCTATAGATATAGTTTATAAACTCCATTGGGGGTTTTGTTTTCCAAACATGGTAAGAAGTACTTTAGTTAATATTTGTGATTTAAAATGAAATAATCTTAAAATTTTTTATCAGGTAATGTTTATTTACATTTAAGACAATTTACAATTTAAATAAAATTATTCGGTACATGGTACCACTTTTTAAGTGATTTTTTAGTTTTTCTTAGTGGAGGTGTTGCGGGCAAATCTGTTTAAACTCAAGTTTTCTACAGCAACGGTGTCAGCTCCGGTGGTGATTCCGGAGTCGAGAGCTAGACCGGATACACCGGATTCGACGGCTGATCCAAAGTATCCAGTGTTGATTCCGGAGATTCCAGAAACTCCAGAGATTCCGGAGATTCCAGAGATACCAGAGTCAAGGGCGATTCCGGATCCAATAGTGGATACACCAGAGTCTACAATATGACCAGCTCCAATTCCAGAGGATATGGCGGATACACCACCGTCTAGGATGGCACCGGAGTGAATTCCGGACAAACCTGAGTTAATGATGGAGCCGGAAGCAATTCCAGATCCATGACCGATGGTGGAGATTCCAGAGGTGACTGGGATACCAGCGCCGAAGGAGCCGATTCCCAAGGTGGACAAACCAGAGTCGTAGGCGATTCCGGATCCGATGGCAGATCCGTATCCGTAACCCAAAGAGGACACTCCGTGAGCGATTCCGGTGTTGTGTAAGCTGACGGCTGGAGCCAAGTTCAAGCTGCCGGATTGGCTGTGGGTGGCGGTGGTTCCGTGGTTGACGATTTGTGGTACTCTTACGGCGATTTGTTGTGGTACTCTGGTGTAAACTGGGGTTGGTACGTTGACGGCGTATGGTTTGGCTACTGGGTATGGTACGTGGTGTGGTACTTTAACGATGATTGGTTTTTCTACTGGTACTTCGATTCTCCTTTCTTGTACGACTGGGTATGGGGCTGGTACTTCGACTGGGTAGTTTACACGGACGGCTACTGGGACTGCGTGTGGTACTTTGACGGCGTATGGCCTTGGTACATCGACGGCTACACGTTGTTCAACTGGGACTGGGACAGTCTTGGTTACTTGAACGTGGACGGGTTGTGGTACTTGGACGGTACGTGTGATGGTGACTGGGTAGGGTTGGTTTACTGGTACTGGTACTTGTTGGGTAAGTTTTCTTACGTGGGTGGTGACACCTCCGTGGACGATACCTAATGGAGCAGCGGATACAACTCCGGTGGATACTACTGGAGCGGCGGCGGAAATTCCGGAGGATACAATTCCACCGGATAGACCGCTGGACAAAAGACCGGCTTCACCTGAATAGATTCCGGAGGAAAGACCGTTGTATGCAAGTCCACCGGATACAAGTCCACCAGATACGAGTCCGCTGGATACGACTGGGGCGCTAGATACCAAACCTCCAGATACAAGTCCAGATGAGTATCCAAGTCCGGAAGAGTAACCAAGTCCAGAAAGTCCAGAAGAATAACCTAAGCTACCCAAACCAAGAGTGTCGAGACCCCCTACAATGCCATTAATTCCGGAAAGGGAGGAGTATCCACCATGGTAGAGACCGCCCAAACCAAGAATAGAACGTTTTTTTGGGTCTTGAGTTTTTTTAGCGGCGGAAAGGGCCACCAAGGCGAAAAAGGCAATGCACTATAAGAAATTCACAATTAATAAAATATTTTTTTCAAACATTAAAATGTATAAAACCATAATTACCAAAAAGCTTCTCATTGTAGAATTGCTTCAGTTAAGCAAACAAAACTGAATGATAATCCAAGACAACAAATCAGCTTATATAGTAGGAAAAAGCTTGAAGGACGTGAAACCAGATCACATTTTATTGATGATACACTAAAAATTTACATTTGAGAAACAACCAAAATTAATTAATTCCGTATAATCTATATAATAATTGCATAATTAATAATAAAGTCACACACTAAACTTTATTTAAAACCACAAAAGTATTGCATACTGTAAGTTTAATATGCTGCATTTTAGGTTTATTGCCAATAAATTATTGGGATTACAATTTACTGTTTTTAACTATTAATTGTATACTTTAAATTAAAATTAAAAAATGTAAAAGTTTAAAAACGTTAAAATGGATGATGAAACAGAATTAAAAAGCGAGTTACATCAGTAACACGTTAACCAGTTAATTTCACAAAAATTTAAAACGGTCGCTTTACAACACATTTTTTCATTATTTTGATTTTTGTATTGTACAATATTAATTTTTTATCATCTTTAATCATATTAAATCCTAGGATGTAAAAATAATTTAGACCAGTCTGTAAAAAACCCGGTTGGACAGTTTTTTAATTTTTTTATAGAATTATAGGTAATTAGAATCAACCTTTGACAAAATTAAAAAAGCATTTAAAATTTAAATTAAATATTTAAAGCAAAAAAATTAAATTAGGTATCGTACAAGGTACTGTGAGGCCATTTACAATGGGGGCCAAAGTTCAGGTACGATAAACAAAAAAAAATCAGATGAAATATTAAAATATAAAAAATTCTGGATGTGCTGTAAAAAATCGATTTTTTCGTCAATCATAGTTAAGTTTAATGACTTGGCATAATAAGCTAACATATTGCACATATAATTGGTTGTTATGGAAAACATTTAAATAAGGCAGGTGATGTTGACAAATGTATTTGGTAACAGCTTTTGTTTAAAAAAATTAAAACTTTCACTATAATTTTTTCATTATTAACAAATTTTACCTTTATATTTTTTAAACGTTATTAAAAAATAGTTACCTCCTTTTATAAAAATATTTTTAAACAACATAAACAAAATAAGGAATATTAAATTAATTTAAGTCATTCTAAATTAAAAACTAAACTTAAAAAAAATTGCCCCACTTTATTTTTATAAATACTGTAGATATGATACTAATGGATTATTTGCGTCAGTTTTAGATACTTTCAATATTTAAAAAAAGTTATTGTAATATTGATTTGTTAAATTTCAATGATGATATGCATATTCAGGAGGTTTTATTTTATTTTAATTAGTACGAATACCTATTAATGAGTAATTAATAATTACCAATTACTTTTCGCTATATCGATATATATATGTATAATATATAAATATATATATATATATATATATATATACATATATGTATATTATATAATATATAATATATGCCATTTTGGTCATGAATTATGTCTAGAAAAGTTTACAAACAAGTTGCATACAATAGTTTTTTTAAGACAAATACTTTTATCTAAAAATGATTTAAATAAATATTTGTATAGAGCGACATCTATAAAACAATAGAGTAACCATTCTTGGGAATCTGTATTGCCCGTGCGCCTGTCTTTACCCAAATTTTTTAATGTTTTATCAGTTTCCTGGCGAAATAAAAAGGTCCGTACAACTTTTCAAATATTGGCGTTAAGAAAAAATTTAATACTTGGGTACCTATGTATTTTTATATTGAGATAAAATAATTTATCTATAGTCCATTCCATTTAAGAATAAAGCGTTGAGTTGAATAGGATTTATTATAGACCAATCACGACGCTGTTTTTTTACAGAATAAAGCGTTGAGTTGAATAGGATTTATTATAGACCAATCACGACGCTGTTTTTTTACACAGGCAAAAATTTAAAACCCCTCTCTTTTTAATACGTTGGTTGTTGATATAACTTATTTCTCATACACTGAATATTTCCTTATACAGCGTTGTCATGGCTTCTAAAAACAAATTTACAAACTGACTTAATAATATTATACAGTAAACCAGCAAGAGTTCTTATATTATTTAATAATAAGATTATATTATATAAGCTTAATAATATTTTAATTATAGAAAGAATATATCTTTTCAGAAGTTTTTATTCATGGCACTTTGGCAACGTAGCATTTGATTATTAATGGCTTCAGTTGCATCAGCTATTATTATACAAAGTTTTGTTGATAATTTATTACAAGTTCTGTGATTTATTGGCTTTATTTAACGTATTAACTGTTGTTAATAAATTTTTACAAAGAACAAGTAAGTCAATTACATTAAAATGGCTTAACATAACCAAAGAAAAATACTTTTATATTTTTAGAGACAATATTGATTATATGGACAATATAAACATTGTGGACAATGTGGAAAACCAACCATCTGTCCTAAAAAAACAAATCTGGCCAATATATAGGACGAGGTGAAAGAATATTACTTTTTAGTATTGTAAAAAACATATCAATAAAGGAAAATCAAAAAGTGCCAGTGTAATATTAACATCTGAAGAATCTGGTATTTCAAAAAGTACCATTTGGTTTACCATCAAACAAATGGAACATGACGGATAGGCTACGTCCCCAATAAAGAAAAGAAAGTGGGCAAATCAATATGACAAATTGAGTAAGGGACAAAAGAAGGACCTAAGAAAAGTTGTTCATAACTTTTTTATAAATAATGAAATACCAAATTTAAGTAAAATTTATCAAGTAAGTAATTATGTTATTGAAATATGTTTAATAATTGATTAGAAAAATGTTCCCTTAATATAAATAATAAATACAATAGAGGGTAGGTATACCAGGTGCTGTCAAATAATAAAAATGGGTTTCGCTTTAAATAAATAAGTTTTTATTATTAAAACAAACATCTTGTGTATAAACTAATTGTTTTCCCTTTTTTTAGGCCAAAAAGGATGATGATAACTTACCACCAATTTCTCAGACAAATTTATTGAGAATTTTTAAAAAACTTGGCTTCAAGTATGAAAAAAGGTGTAGGAATCATTTACTGGTTGCAAAAAGTAAAATAGTAATTTGGAGAAGAAAATATATTGATAATATCAGGAGTTACCAATTACAGGATCAAAAAATATATTACATGGATGAGACTTGGATCAATGCAGGCCACACAAAGCCAAAGGTGTGGAAGGATAGTACACTAATGACAGCAAGGGAGGCATTTCATGAGGGGTTATCCACTGGACTAAAAGACCCTTCAGGAAAAGGTAAAAGGCTTATTACCACCCATATTGGTTCAGAAACAGGGTTTGTGGAAGGTGGCTTAAATGTATTTGAGTAAAAGTCAATTTATCATGAGGATATTAATGAAAATGTTTTTGAGACTTGGATAAAAAATGTTTTGTCTTTGTAAAGTTTTGTTTTTTTTTTTAATAAAACCTTCATTTTATTTTAAGCCTTACTTAAAAAAAACTAGATTTAATTTTTTAAATAACTTTTTTCAGTGAGGTAAGTAGTGACTTCATGATAGTAGTTACGTAAGTTGTTTAGAATGAAATAAAAAAAAATCCAAATCCAAATTTTTACAATAGCCATTTTATTTTCTTGATATCGTTTAATTTGTTTAACCCAAATTTAATTATATGTTAAAATATAAATCGATGAATAAATAATAGATTAATTAATTTCATTCGATCAATTTCATTAAATATTCCTTAGCAAATAATGTTAAAGTAGCATCGCTTATAACGAACCGTAATAAACTATGAACGATAGTTCGCTGTTTGTTATTTTAGAAAAAAATAAAGAAATTTCATATATGTACTTTGGTTCGTAGATATTATTCGAGTTTGTTCGTTTTAAAATGCAATTTTCAAATCCATGGCTGTATGCTTACACTCAAAGAAAAAAATATTTTTTCCGTTCATTTACCATTAATTTATCTTACATTTTTAATAAAACTCGGTCTATTTATTAATAACTAAATTTTTATATTACAAATTCATAAAAATTTATTAAAACATTAAAATATGTACTATTTTCCACATCAAAAAAATAAACTGACATTTAAATAAGGAATGCAGTTAAATAATTAAGGTTATGTTGCTCAAATTATTGTTTATTTCTTCTTATTTTCTGAAAATAATATAATACATGTATATTTCTGTGCAAAGGTCTTAATTAGTAGGTATACGGCCATTCCAAGCCCATGGACAGGACACATCAAAACATGTCTAAATTATATTCTTGTTACTTCCTTAAGTTTACTTATTTTTTCTACGAGTATTTATGAGAAGTATTAGCCAACTTTGGCTAATACTTCTCATAAATACTCGTAGAAAAAATAAGTAAACTTAAGGAAGTAACAAGAATATAATTTAGACATGTTTTGATGTGTCCTGTCCATGGGCTTGGAATGGCCGTATAGTAAATAATTTTTTCATGGTATGGTACATTCAGGGTTGCTATGATTTGTCTATATTTGTTGTAACATATTAATATTCTATTAACGACAACCGCCATTATATTTAAATTTGCCGCGTACTCCTGTGTAAAAATGTCTCGTTTTGCAGCGACATCTAGTTTATTCTTAAATGGAATAGACTATAATCCTATTGCATAATATTATTTTTTTTGTGGATAATGATAAACATTATAAATTCCCTGCCTAAGTACTGATTATTTAAATTGTTAAGCATCAGTGATTTCAATATTCAAAGTGATTTGATCAAATCGTGTTTTAATTGGGAGAAGGCGCCTATAATAACATTTCAAATTGGTAAAAAGTGAGGTTAACATTTGACAAATGTCAGATTTTATTTATTTATTTTGTAAAATAATTTAATTATTTACTTATTAAGTGTAGTATTATCCTCGATAATAATATACTATTTCACATTTAGTATTACTTTACATAAAATGCAATTTATTTTAACAATTGTATGACATTTAAAAACTGTCAACTAACTTAAAAGTTAGTTTTAAGTTAAAACTAACTTCACTAAACACCTGTAGCTAACTTCAGCCTAAAACGCTATAAAGCCACAACTTGTCAATGTGTATTTAAAAGGTAACTTAGTGTCGTGGAACGACGATAATGGGCGTGTCTTTTTGTTAGTTTTCCTGTATGTTGAATTATTCTGTTAGACAATAAAAAACAGTTACAATTTCAAAGAAAAACTGCAGCGCTCCTTTATGTAAAAAGTTGTTACATTGATTTGTAAGATGGTCGTCCCCTGACCCAGTTTGATTATTTTTAACAATTTAAATAAAAATACAAAAATAATTAAATAAGGGAATCCTGTCTAAGGTCAAATTTAATGGCCCCCAAGAGCCGCTACAGATTAATTGCGATAAAATACAAAAAATAAAATTGTATCCAAAAGAATAAAAAAAAAAAAATATGACGATACTATAGTTAAAAAAATGAGGAGTTTATTTTTTTCATAGAAACACACTAAGTAATAAAAATTGGATTAATAAAAAGCAAAATAATATTTTTATATTTTTTATATATTTTTATTTACATTTAACACAATTTAGAGTTTAAATAAAATTAGACAGTACATGGTACCAATTTAAAGGGATTTTTAGTTTTTCTTGCTGGCAGTTTTGCGAACAAACCTGTTTAAACCCAAGTTTTCTACGGCGACGGTGTCAGCTCCGGTGGTGATTCCAGAGTCGACAGCTACACCAGATACACCAGATTCGATGGCGGATCCGTAGTATCCAGAGTTGATTCCGGAGATTCCAGAGATGCCAGAGAGACCGGAGTCAAGGGCGATTCCGGATCCAATGGTGGATACACCAGAGTCTACAATTTGACCGGCTCCAATTCCGGAGATTCCAGAGGAGATAGTGGATACACCACCGTCATAGATGGCACCGGAGTGGATTCCAGACAAACCTGAGTTAATGATGGAGCCGGAAGCGATTCCAGATCCAAGACCGACACTGGAGATTCCAGAGGTGACTGGGATGCCAGCGCCAAAGGAGCCGATTCCCAAGGTGGACAAACCAGAGTCGTAGGCGATTCCGGATCCGATGGCAGATCCGTATCCGTAACCCAAAGAGGACACTCCGTGAGCGATTCCGGTGTTGTGTACGCTTACGGCTGGAGCCAAGTTCAAGCTGCCGGATTGGCTGTGGGTGGCGGTGGTTCCGTGGTTGACGATTTGTGGTACTCTTACGGCGATTTGTTGGGGTACTCTGGTGTAAACTGGGGTTGGTACGTTGACGGCGTATGGTTTGGCTACTGGGTATGGTACGTGGTGTGGTACTTTAACGATGATATGTTTTTCTACTGGTACTTCGATTCTTCTTTCTTGAACTACAGCGTATGGTTTTGGTACATCTACTGCGTAGTTTACACGGACTGGTACTGGGACTGCGTGTGGTACTTTGACGGCGTATGGCCTTGGTACATCGACGGCTACGCGTTGTTCAACTGGGACTGGGACAGTCTTGGTTACTTGAACGTGGACGGGTTGTGGTACTTGGACGGTACGTGTGATCGTTACTGGGTAGGGTTGGTTTACTGGTACTGAAACTTGTTGGGTAAGTTTTCTTACATGGGTGGTGACACCTACTGGGGCAGCGGATACAACTGGAGCGGCAGCGAATCCGGTAGATACTACTGGAGCAGAAGATACGATTCCACCGGAAAGACCACTGGACAAAAGAGCGGCATCACCGGAAACGAGTCCGGATGAAAGTCCGTTGGATACGAGTCCATCGGATACGAGTCCACCGGATACGAGTCCACCGGATACGAGTCCACTGGATACTTGTCCATCAGATACGAGTCCGCTGGATACGACTGGGGCGCTAGATACCAAACCTCCAGATACAAGTCCAGATGAGTATCCAAGTCCGGAAGAGTAACCAAGTCCAGAAAGTCCAGAAGAGTAACCTAAGCTACCCAAACCAAGAGTGTCGACACCTCCTACAATGCCATTAATTCCGGAAAGGGAGGAGTATCCACCTTGGTAGAGACCGCCCAAACCAAGAATTTCACGTTTTTTGGGTTCTTGAGTTTTTTTAGCGGCGGAAAGGGCCACCAAGGCGAAAAGGGCAATGCACTATAAGAAAACATTAATTAATAAAAAACATTTTTAAATATAAAAAATAAAAAGAATTATTATTACCAAGAAGGTTCTCATTGTAGGATTGTTCCAGCTAAGCAAAACAAAACTGAATGATTTACTAAGACAAAAAATCAGCTTATATAGTAGAAAAACCAGATCAGGTTTAACTGATGATACACTAAAAATTAACATTTGACGAATTTATCGTAAAATTAATTAATTCCGTATAGTAGGTCATCTATATATTAATTACATAATTTAAATAAAGTAACACACTAAACGATATTTTTAAAAACTAAATCACTTTCAAAAGGTTAATATTATCATACTTACGTATTTTAATAGTAATCCTTGAATAATATGTTTTATGTATTTTTATATTTTGGCGAAAATAAACAGAAGGCACGCAAAATTAGGTAAACTTTAATATTATATCATCATCCATGAAACAATTTGCATAAACTATATAACAAAAAAATGAGATTAAATATTTTAAATAAAAAGCATGTAAAACAGAGCAATACCGTATTAAAATAAATTTTAATATGAAACTTGATCCGCGCCTATTCTTAATTGTTAAAAGGCGTTAATAAAAATATCTACTCTCTAAAAATGACTAATTGTCATAGCAAAAAAGCTTCCACTAATAATTCTTGTCAATAGCAATTTGTATCCCAAACATTTAGCAGTCTATTATTCCCTGAATCCGAGAATGTCGTCAAATGTTAAAAAGTAGAACAGTTTTTGAGATATAGTTAATTTTCCATATAATATGGAATTGATTATATCTCAAAAACTGCTCTACTTTCATAATTTTTGATAGTATTTTTGGATTCAGGGGATAATTTTATATAAGAATTGGCTATTAAATGTTGGAGATACCATGGTATAAGTGAACAAGCAGCCATGGCTAAAAACTGTAGTAACTAGTCATTTTTCACTAATTCATTTTTAAAGACTACTTGGATGTTATTATGGCTATAAAAATATTTACTTAAATTGACATTAACCTACTTGATAATAACAAATTCTTATTTGTAAGAACTGCCAACATAGGCACTACGTATACGTACTATAGTACGTATAGTCGCCGCGGCGAATGTTTTTCGTTGTGTCATCAATTAGCTGTTTTCTTCGTTTTTTTTCTTCAACTGTTTATGTTGGATGTATGGCGGGCGTATGTCCACAAACCGGTTTTTGACATTCGCCGCGGCGACTATAATCAATTGGTCGAAAAAAGTCTGTTTTCGGAAAAAAATTACAATATTTTTTTGCATAAATCGTTTTTAAAAGGCTTATAAAGAAACGCTTGACCTTGATCTTGATAATTATCAAAAAAACGGACAATAATAAAAGCGGCCGTAAAACTGTTTTAGTTTTCGGCGGCTTTTAAGTAATAAATATTCACTTTATTGTTTATGAGACTGAAATATTATTATTTTTTTACTTGTTTTATTAACTGTTATGGTAAGTATTTCTTGCAGTATTTCACTAGTGCGGGAATATAGGGTTAAAATTCAAAATAAATTTGTAAATAATGTTTATTATGTTAATGTTGATATTAAAATTGTAAATTAAATTAATTAGAATTTTTTATGAACGGAAATCGATTTTTTTAAAGGTCATGGAAAAAGATTAATTGGTGTAGTATAATTTTACGCACTTCCTGAAACATTTATTTAGTTTTTTAGAAAACATGTGGCATTAAATTAAAATTTTATGTTTATTTCACATTTATTATAAAAAATATATTTTAATAATTTTTAATACGCATCGATTATATATTGTGTATATAGTCTGTTCCCAGATTGACTTTAAGAGGTGTAATACACCAAACAAATATTTTTTATTTCCTGCAGTCTCGGCCTGCTTGACCTAAAATGAATGTTTACCAAATACAGTTCAAATTGGCTTTGTTAGTCTAAAAAGAAAATTAATTGTGGATAAAGTTGTCTTTTCGTTGATTTTACGAAAAAATTATATTTGGATAAAATATGTTGCATTGAAAATCAGAGCCACAACCCAACTTTCGTTATATTTAAACAAAAAATATAAGTATAAAGAATTAAGGCTAATTATAATTAGCCTTAATTCTTTCTTAACACAAGTGTGAGCAAAAAATATATATTGTAGAGTGCTATGGGTTGGGGGCAAATTAGCTACAAAGGGGTGGTTGCTTTTAACAAAACTTTCCAGGTTTCCATTTAGACCGTGTTGTAAATATTGCTAACCGACTCAATACTCAAGACATCTGATCGTGCCTTAAATCTAAAAAATGAATAAAGATAATTCTGTACAAACCTAAATTTCTTCACACTTTGGAACCAAACAACGATTGGACTTTGATTGGAGAGAATAAAACAAAGAATTTTTTCGGACGACATTTACCACAGTGGTACTCCGTCAGTGACTGACGGAGTTGGTTCCTCACAAAATTGTAGGTAAGTACTGGTCAGGTGAAAAATTCAAAAAAAGTAAACGTTTGGTGAGCAGTTGCATACGATGAGATAATTGAACCTTATTTTTTGGATGTAAATTTGTGTATTTAAAGATATGAAGATTACTTTAGTTTATAGAATTTGGTCAAGAGACAAAAAATACAGTCACACAATTGTTGCCATTTTTAAGTATTTTTATTGGTAAAATAATATTTTTATTATTTTGAGGCTAAGAAATCCATTTTTGTTGTAAGATGATACTCCAAAGCAATATTTATTATTATTGATATATTAGTATAGAAACATATTTTTTGACGTAAAGAGCATTTAAACTAGAAAATTTGTCATTTTGAGTAAAAAAAAATATTCTCTTTAACGTTTTAACCAAAAAACATTTTATTTTTAAATACGTTAATTTATTTATGCCTAAAAACAATACAATTGAGAGGCTTGGAAGTAAAACGGTTCAAGTGCACTTTTTTAAATAAATGGTCTAAGTGCAGAATATCACACCTAAAGAATATTCCAACTTAGTGGTAAAATTATATAAGTACATTTTACATTCCCTGGCGCCATTTCTTATCGTCTTTAAAAACCTGTCAAAATAATTTAAAATATATCTTTGGTAAAATGATTTAAGTGCACCTTTTACTGCTAAACATAGGCTATTATCTATGCTGCTAAAGCCTTGACAAGTATTTTAAATCATGTCAAGTGATTACGTGTTTTTACAGATATTTTTCAGTGTTAGTCCCTACTAACATTGATCCGACGTCGGAATAGAATCAGCTAGTACAGTAATTGCATTTAAATCGTTTTACCACTAAATTTGTTCTTACATGCATGACGATTTAAGTACATTTTTGTAAAAAAAATTAACGAAAAAGCTAAATTGAAAAATTCCTTTTTCTTTATAATCCTTTTTTGTCTTTAAACAAAACTAAAATATTCACACAGTTTTTTAAACTCTTTTCTAGAATTTTAAAATTCAAGTTAACTTTAAAGCCATTTATCTCAGAACTAACAATAATGCACTTAAACCCTTTTACTTCTAGGCCCCTCAATTATTACTACAAAAAATTGTAGTTTTTGTAGAAAAAACGACGTTGTTTTAGGTAAAATTAATTTGTTTACTTAAAAACACATAGTAAATCAGTGACAGCAACATAAAGCGTTCTTCTTCATTAATATGATTAATTAAACTTATTAATGTTAAAAATGAATGAATGTTTGAAGCATTTAAAATACTTTTGTTATATTTGTGGACAATATAATGGAAAACAAAACTTAGTTCCAAAATATGAGAATGTAAAACAATTGTACCTACAATATTACGGAATATATATAATTGAAAATGTTGATTAGGTGCCTAGAAAAGTTTGCAGAACTTGTAATTACAATTTAATTAAATTGTCACAAAATCTTGTAGTATAATCCAGGTATTTTTTTTGTTATTAAAACTTGGATTCTCTATTCGTATTTTTGATGATATTGATTATATTTTGCATTTTTGTAAATTTTTATATGAACATGATCAATTACAGTGTTATGTGTGTTTAAATAATTTTAAAGCAGAATCCAGATATAAAGGCAAACATCTCGACGCTATGCTAGCTGATTTATGTTGGTGGTTAAAACGAACCACCGATAAAGAAAAAAATGATGATGAATTACCAGAACAAGATGAAGCAATAGATGTAGATCCAGTAGCTGGGACTTCTGGTACCTCAACTAGTGCTACTGCCGGTTACAGCAGTGATAGTTTTTAAATATAAATAAAATAGCGAATTTAATAATGTTTACCAGCATTTAAGCAGTCAATTGTTTATTTAAAAAAGTAATTTTTTCGTAAAAATGCTATTTTTTCTTAAAAAAAACAAGTTTTTTATACTAATATATCAAAAATATTAATTATTGCTTTCTAATATCACCTAGGGTATATTTTACAACAAACGGATGACAAAAATGGATTTCTCACCTTCAATAATAAACCAAAATACCATTTGACCAATAAAAATACTTAAAAAGTATCAAAAATTGTATGATAGCGTCCTCCTCTGAGCGTCTTTGGTAAAAATTAACATCACAAATAAATTCCTCGATCAAATTGCCAAAATTATTTTAAAAAATTAACATAGTTTTACTTGGTTTTTTCCTACTATGGGTTGTCAAAAAATTTACCATCTTTAAATGCGTACAAAAAATAACTGAGACGTGATATAAAAAAACTCTGATAGGGTTTTTTTGTGGAAACTATTAACTTGCATTTGCTTTTGGTTTTATTCCATTCCCTTTCGCAAACCTTAATTTTGTATCACAGTGTAATTTAAGATTGCCTAAAAGATATTTAGGTAGCACCAACATTAGAAAAGTACAAAATTACGTTTCAAAGCCCACTAATTATGCATTAAATGCAAATTATCACTGATATTTTGTTTATTTATGTCATTTTCAATAAAATAACAATAATAGTAATAATTGAGCGAAGTAAAATAGACCTTACGATGGACATACATGAATTCTTATTTTTTGTTTAAATGTACCATATTTTCCCTTCATTTCCTTAAAAAATTAGAATTGTTCATTAATTATAAATGATTCTATAAAATTATTGCGTTTTAAAGCAAAAATCCCCTATTTGAAAAACTGTAAGTAATAATCGAGCGAAGTAAAAAGACGTTAGGATGAAAATACATGATTTTATTTTTTTTTGTTTAAAAGTAACTTAAGTCTCAAAAAATTATACTTTTTCAT